ACGAACGATGATCTTGCTCTTGAGCTTGAGCTTGAGCTTGATTGCTTGAACTTGATCTTGATTCGTTCTTCGTTCTTGAGCTTGAACTTGATTTCTTGAACTTGAACTTGATTTCTTGGACTTGAACTTGATTGCTTGAAGCTTGAAACTTGTAGAGAAATTTGCGGCGTTTGATCCACGAGCTCTCTCTTGCTTCTTGTTATAACTTCTGGTCCCTTTTCTGAGTTATGAAGACCCCTATTTATAGTTGTGGAAGGGAAGAGTTGTGATAAGAACAAACTCTTTCCGACCAATCAAATTGAAGTGTGACATGCTCGCATTTGATTGGCCAGAACATGTCACTTGCACACGTGGCACGATTTCATTGGCCTTTAGTGTGACTGGGCATGCCTTGTCATTTTGACACGTGGCATGATCCTATTGGCTCTTCCGTTTGACTTGGCGTGCCACATCATTTGACACGTGGCATCAAACTGGGCCTCTAGGAAGATGTCATCTTGGGCTTAATGAAGTGGGCTCATCCTTTAGCCCAATTAAATGGGCTAGCCTAATGGATTAAGACTTATTTATTTAATCCATATATATTGGACTTACATAATTAATTCAATTATATTAGCCCATATATTTATTTGGACCCATATATCTTGAATTTAAAATATAATCCAAATTATTTTATGAATTTAATTTTAATAAAATTCATATGCCTACACAAATTTCGAATTCAAGTTCAAACCCAAAGCTTCAAACTTGTTAATGGTGTTCTTTGAATTATATCAAAATAAATCACCATATTTTCAGCATATTTTTATTAAATTTTTTCTCAACAATAATCACGAATTCAAATTAATTTTCTAGGTCATGGAATACCAAAATCAACAAGACCGATTAAATTTTCAAGCTTTTTAAAAGGGCAATAATTATGATTTTTACAAGACCCAATAGCTCCCCTTTTCTTTTTTTTATCTTTTTCTTCTTAGTCACGGGGGTTGGAGAGGCGAAACACGAGGGGGAAGACAAAACTAGGATAGGGATTGGGGAAGAAGATGAACATGGAGGGGGGAGGGGGGAGCGCTGGGGTTTGGGGTTGAGGGAAGACATGGGTTGATATTTTTTTCCTTTAATTTAATAAGGAAATAATTGAAAAACGGAAAAAATAAAATAAAAACTTAATTTCAAATGAGATTTTTAGTTTTCACGCGCCTTTTTCATGTGTAATACACGCGTGTGACACATGGCAAAAGAGGTGTGTAATTGACACACTTTTAGAAGTTTTGGTATGTAATACTATTCTCGTATTTAACAAGTGTGTAAGAGGGATTTGAGTGCAAGATCGATGGGTAAAGTATGTATTTTGCCTTGTTTTTAGAGCACAACGAATTGGAACAGAGAGATGATAAATTTGTATGGTACAGCAGCATATAAATTAAAAAATAAATTCCATAAAACTTTAATACAAATTTGATACATCTACAATATCATATAAACTAAAAATGAATTTTATACAACTAATTATATAATATACAACTAAAAATCAACAACTTTCACATACTAAAAATAAAATTCATACAACTAAATATACAGTATACACTTATCTACAACTTTCATATATTATTTCTACCCAGTTATATACAACTACAATATCATCCAACTTAAATATAATTTTTATACAATATGTCTTTTGTATATTTTGTATTTGATTTATACATAGTAAAAATAAATTTCATGCAACAAATTATATATTATACAACTTATCTACAATTTATTTACAATTTTCATATATTATTTCTACTCAGTTATATACAACTACAATATCATACAACTTAAATATAATTTTTATACAATATTGTTCAACTTTCATACAATAATTAAATAAATGAAAGAAAAATATATAAACAACATAATATAATTTTTCTACAATTTTACTACAATTTCGTAGATATAATGTATATCATGTCTTCTTCTTCTTTTTATCCTTCTTCGAGTTTCAATTTGAAATTCAGCCAAAATCAAGTCTAATCTTCACCAAAACCCCTCAAAATTGAGATATAAACTCCAAACCATATTCCCAATTGTTTGCAACAATACCCAATCCAAACAATTAATGATTTTTGAAAACTCAAATTCGAATTCAAAGCTTCNATATATATATATATATATATATATATATATATATATATATATATATATATATATATATATATATATATATATATATATATTGTAGTATATAAACAACAGAATATAATTTACCTACAATTTTACTACAATTTCGTAAGTATAATGTATGCCATGTCATCGTCATCTTCTTCTTCTTCTTCGAGTTTCAATCTGAAATTCAGCCAAAATCAAGTCTAATCTTCACCAAGACACCCTCAAAACTGAGATATAAACTCCAAACAATATTTCCAATTATTTGCAACAACACCCAATCCAAACAAATAATGATTTTTGAAAACCCAAATTTCAATTTAAAGCTTCAAAGCTTTTTAATGGCTGTTAATGGTGGAATTGCTGCTCTCTTTTCCTTTGCTTTACATTACTCGAATTAGGGATTGAGAGATAGAGAGAGACGTAGAGAGAATTCCCAATTGTTTGCAACAACACCCAATTCAAACAAATAATAATTTTTGAAAACCCAAATTTGAATTCAAAGCTTCAAAGCTTTTTAATGGCTGACAATGGTGGAATTGCTGCTCTCTTTTTCTTTGCTCTACATTATTGGAATTAGGGAATTGAGAGATAGAGAGAGACGTAGAGAGAGAGAGAGAGAGAGAGAGAGAGAGAGAGAGAGAGAGAGAGAGAGAGAGAGAGAGAGAGAGAGAGAGAGAGAGAGAGAGAGAGAGAGAGAGAGAGAGAGAGAGAGAGAGAGCGCATGAGGGAGAGAGAATAAGGATGTGAAATAATTGATACCTAATATAAAGGGATACTCAATTAATTCCTAAAGTGTATATAATTGATAAATTTGTATATATGATGTAATTAAATTAAAACTTGAGTAAGAAGGGTAATAAAGTTTCCAATAGCGTATAGGTATGAAAAAATTCCTTAGTTGTTATAGTCCGCAAAAAGGCCCAACTACAAGTAGTATGAAACTCAAGTAAGTCCATTGGACAGTGGTAGAAACAATTTGAATCAATGCTACGTAGTACAAAACTCAAGTTAAATAAACAAAAAATCATCAAAATCACTAAGGAATAGTAAAGAAATAGTTCATTAAAGTCACTAGGCATAGTAAGTTTTGGTAGGATATATAAATAAAAAAGAAAAACTGTAATTTCTAGAGTTGAAAAGGGCAGTGTTGCAACACTATCCGAAATAACTTTTACATAAAGCTGCATTGGAAAATAAAGTTTCAATAAGGGTCAATTTGGTTAACTTTTAGAATATTCTTATCAATGTTTTAAAAGGCATTTTCGAGGCGAGGCACACTAAAAAATTCCCGAGGCGATGTGGGGCGAAAGTCTTAAGACGCTTACCCCCGAATTGTTGGGCGTATGCCCGGGCGTTTGAGACGCATTTCTGTAGTACTGAGGCGTAAGCTCCGGAGGCTTTTTCAAATTAAAACAATATTGGTTGAATAAGTCCTTCATATAGTACCCAAATTTTCAAATGTCATCTTGTAATTACTCAAAAATTTTAAAAGGGACCTGGAATATTAAATTTAAAAGTCAAGACCTTTTTTATTGACAGAAGCCCTAATTTATTATCTTTCTCAATTCTTTATCTTGTCCGCTAGTTTGCTACCATCTCGCAAAAGCAACAAATAGTCAGTATTTTTTTTTTCAAATACAAAGGGGGCTCCATTCTCCTTCATAACAGCAATTTCAAAGTTCAAATTGCAGGTTAGTCATCCTTTTTGTTCCTCCATGTAGAAAACTTTGTTCTTTTCAACTCCAGTTAGTTGTGCTTGTAAGTAGCGTATAATAGATTGTTTTGACTAGTTTTTTGTGGGGATGGAGCACATATATTTATAGTTTTCTTCAATTTTTATATAATTTTACCCATTTATAAATATTTAATGTATAAATCATGCTTATATAGTACATTTATGAAAGACCATAAATTAGGGCTGCTAAGTACTATATAAGTCATGCTAAAATAAGTATATCTATTAAGTACTATTAATTACATGACAAATCACTAAAGAAAAAGATAAACTAAGTTATGCATTTTCATTATAAGTCAATGCAAAACTTAAAATAGATATCCAACACAATTATCTTTTTCTTTTTTTGAAACAGAAAGATGTTTATTTATATTAAACTAGAGTATGGGTCATTTCTAGTGTTGAAATGAAATTATTTTGTTAGCATTAGTATTGATTTAAACTTTATTTGAGTTACTACATTTATGAGCTATAAAACTTATTGGACCATTCAAGAATGTTAAGTGTCCAAGCTTGAAATAATACACTAAAAGATAAGACAATGAAAAAGTTTAAGAAATATTTATAAATTACATTAATAAATATTTATATGTATAAAATATTTTAAAAATTTGCTGAAATGTAGTATCGGGTTGGTTTGGTTTTGGTTTGACTTTTTTTAATTAGAACCAAATCAAACCAATTATGGTCGTTTTTTTTTTCAATACCAAACCAAATCACATCGGGTTTTTTTTTCCGGTTTGACTCGAATTATCGATTTGGTATGGTTTATCGATTTTCTTAGAACACCCCTAGTTGTTATTTATAGTTTAAAATTAAAACTCATAATTATACAAAAATACTACTATAACTTTTATTTCTCATTAGAAATCCTCTGTGTGCGTGGGTTGTGCATAAATGTATATGATTGTCGCATGTCTACGTATTTGTGTACAAGATATTAATCAAAGTTCACTTGGTTTGAATTGCGAGAAGCGAAGAGTATTGAATATTGCGGAACAGAAAAAGTACTAAATTATGTGATCATGTTTCATGTTTTAATCCGTCATTCCATCACAAGAAGATATATAAACGGTGTTCCTCTTATATTCCTCACACAAGTCGAATCTCCATATGAAAAAAGAAGGCATATATTTCAATACGTTTTGGGCAGTAAGCTGCAATTCTTTAGGCACAGATCCAGTAGAAAATTTATAATAAACAGCTTACTGGCAACAAAAAGGATAGCAAAAACTTCCTGTTGGTTTTTTATCATTAAACGAAAACAGAATATTTTTTCTGAACTTCAACCCCTTCAAAAGAATTAGGAGGACAAGGGCCATGACCTTCACCAAACGAAGCAATATGATCTTTCAACGACCTCTTGTGCTTAAAATCCGAACCACAAATGCAAAGCCAACGTTTTCCACAGTTTTTCTCGTGCGTTCTCCAGTCCCCTTTCACAGCCAAGCACTTGCCACATTTCCTGCATGCAAAACGCTTTGTCCCGTGCTTTCTCTTGTAATGCGTTTGCAGTGTTCGAAAATCCTTCAATGGCTTAGCCCTCGGGTGGTTTATGTTGTTCTTGCACCCTTCCTCACAACAGTAGCATGGTATCCCTAACATGGCTCTTGGTTGTGTTCCCTTAAGTGATTCTGGTCCTTTTCGATATTGCGAACCATGCCCCCACATATGCATCTGCTAGTAAGACAAATAGTTGAATAATTGAAAAATGAGATTATTCAAGAATACACTTTGAATGCTTAGATTTGGATTGATTAGTTTTCCGGAGTAGATCGTAAGAAGATGGCATTTATTAATGATAATGGCGATAATTAATACAGTGTATACAAGTTAAAAAGAATGAAATATACTCAAAAAGAATGAATGCTATCTATGAAGTTTTGAGGCATGAGAGTGCACCTGAAGATTGTTGTAGCGATTGAAAGTTTTGTGACAAATGTGACATGAAAAATGGGTGAAGCCAACCAAAATTTGTGAAGGAGTTGGTATCCAATATTGGGTGCCTGCAGCCATATTTCCATCTCCTTTGGTATGATCAGTTGGAATATTAGTAGAGGTGTTGTTGAAATTTGGAAGACCAATGTGTAACGCAACAGTCACATCATCTTCTTTGTCAAGCCAGTTGCACGAATTAGGGTTTTCTTGATCATTAGATAGTCTAATTTCTTTTTCAGATGGCTGAGACAAGGTAAGGAATTCAAATGCATTTTGGGTTTTTTCTGCGAAGAAATCAAACGGTTCAATCTGATTTTCAACACTAGAAGATGAAGCCAAATATAAACGTTCCATCTCTTGTGTAAATATTTCTTTTAATAAACCTAGTATGAGTGAAAAGAATGGAGCATCCTAGGTGTTTTATAGCCCCAAGAGAGAATGTTTGTCCTTAGGTTTAATTTTAATAGTTTATCTTTAAGAGGGAAAATTCAGAGAAAACGACACTGGAGAAAATGCGTTTGGTCGTTGAATGTAAACAACATTAATTTGTTCTCTAATTTGTTTTAAGGGAAGGGATAGTTAATCTCAGCTGCTTGTCAACTTTAGCTTCTTATGGTATGCAATGTAATAGATTTAATTATGGGGCCCATGGTTTTCTAAAATTTGCATGAGCCTCACTGCAGTGGGATTTAGATTTATGGCAACATTTAATTAGTAGTAACATGTTTTAATTTATTCCTTCTTCGATAATTCAACGTCTTCTATTATTGTGTTGTAGCCAGAGGCGGAGCTAGGATTTTTAGTTTATGGTTCCGGAACATATTACTTTTTACTTACTGTGTTCTATATAAATTATTTATGCATATTCAATACAAAAATTCGCATAAATATATACAGGGCTGAGCTTCCGAACCCGTAGCTATAAGGTTGGCTTCGCTTTGCAGGTGGGAGATGATTAATTAACTCTATTTGCTAATTAAGGACCGAAAATCACAAAAGGATCTCTCACTAACGTTCATATCCTCATTTTTATTAGTAGTGGTTTTAACATTGAAAAGAAAAGTCAATTCTTCGACAGGCGTACGTGTGCTGGGGAGGAGGCAACCTTAAATATGTAGTGTGCAGCTTAATTTGATTGATCGATGAACCAACTGTATTTAATTGTAGGTGTGGATTCAATTGAATTGACAAAAGTGGAGATAATGTGGTGGAATAAATTTGAGAAATGCAGGTATCACAATTAGCAGGCATTAGTGCAAAGAATATTGTAACTAACTTGCATAGGTCAACCATGAAATAACTACGTGTTTAGCTGATTATAGTAACTTAGTTCCAACAATAACTCGACGAACTGACCCATTCCCTTGTTACATATGACCTGAACCACTTACTTTTTGGATGCAAGTGTCATGGAGTTTGAAATATTTACTAAGCTATAGTCTTCCGCATGGAATTTCCTAGTGAAAAATGTAGGAAGGTGTTGAAGATAATGATCAGGCTAACAAACCTCATAACTATGCAATCACTTAGTTCTAGTTTAGAAGAATTAAGATTCTTTGTATTAGCTATCCTAGAAGAGTCCTACTCTATGTAGTATAGCCAAAATATAGGATGAAAATACTGTATAAATACATAGGACTCATGTAACTGATTATCGATCAATACACTGCTTTCTTGACATTGTCTCTGCACCATAATTTCACATGCTATCAGAGCTTCCTTGAAGCCAATCCCGCTGCCAAAAAATTCAGTTCTTACAACACAGTATCAACTCTGTCCATATAGCTTCCAACACCTTTTCAACAGCCTCTCTTCATCATCTCATTGCCTCATGCCCTGTGAAGTTAAAGCCCTCTAACTATCTGATATGGAGAACACAAATGATGCAACTTATACAAGTAATAAGATTGAACTATCTCATTGAAGGAAAGCCAAAAATTATAAACATATAAGGCGCGATAAAGATAGTGGCAAGGGAGTTGACAAAGACAGTGTTGTTGATGACTGGGCTGAAAAGGAAAAGTTGTTAAGGACAAGGAATTCCAGTTGAAGCAACAACTTCAAACCATCAAGCTTGGCAGTAGAACCATCGATGAGTATCTGAAGGAATATTCAAAGGCATTTGTGATGGATTAGTTGCCATACACAAGCCTGTAGATGATGATAGCAAGATAATCAACTTTGCTAGAGGTTTGGGTCCTAAATACAAAACCTTTAGGACAGTGATGCTTGGCAAAGCACCTTATCCAACTCTGAGCCAGTTGGTCACTTCTCTAAGAGGCTTTGATCTCAGAGAGGATGAAAGAGATGATCCACAACAAGTGAATCACACTATGGCATTTGCAGACATACAACAACAGAGGTAGAGGAAGAGGAGGTAACATGAACTACAGTTCAAGAGGTAGAGGCTTCAGGCCTGCCGGACAGAACAACAATCAAAACACTCAAGGATCTGGAAATGTTGTTAAGGGACAGGAAACCACAGGATCATCAGCCTGTTAGATATGTGGCAGGAACAATCACACTGCAATAAAGTGCTTCTACATATGGGACTTCTCCTATCAAGCACCAGAAGATTTGCCACAGGCTCTTGCTACACTCAATGTAAACAGTCAGAGTGGAGATAATGCTCACTATATGGATCCTGGAGCAAGCACTCACATGGCCAACAATTAAGGTAACTTATCCAATCTTAAACCTTACAATGGAAATGATAAAATTATAGTAGGAAATGGACAAGAACTGGATATCACACATGTAGGAAAAGGAACAATTTCTGGTTTAAGGATGAGTGAAGTGCTAGTAGTTCCTAAGCTCAAAAAAAATCTGTTATCTGTAAGTAAGATTACTAGAGATAATTGTTGTTCTATTGAGTTTGATCAATCATCTGTTGTTGTAAAGGACAAGAGGATAGGGAAAATGATGGCCAAGGGTGCTAAAAGAGGAGAGATATATGCCTTGAGGGTGGACAACCTGCTTGCTTTGAGTGCAACACAGACAAGTAGAAGCTCTAGTGATATTTGGCATACCGGACTTGGGTATCCAAATTCTAGGTCCTTAGAAGTACTTAGTAATAATAAGTCTATCAATGTCACATGTTGGAATAAAACTCATATTGTTTGTGTTAGTTGTCAAATGGGAAAAGGTTGTAAACTACCATTCAAATTGAGAAATAAAGTTGAGAATGAACCTCTATTGAAAATTCACTGTGACTTATGGGGTCCTGCTCCTGTTGAGTCTTCCCAACATATGAAATACTATGCTTTATTTGTTGATGATCATAGTAGATATACTTGGTTGTATCCTTTAAAAAGAAAATCTGATTTCTTTGAAACATTTGTCAAATTCCACAAAATGGTTGAGAAATAATATTCAAAGAGAATCAAGATCTTTCAATGTGATGGTGGAGGTGAATTTTTAAGTTCTGAATTTGTTAAGTACTTAAAAGATTGTGGCATTGTAAGACATATTTTCCTGTCCTCACACCCCTGATCAAAATGGCATTGCATAAAGGAAACATAGACATATAGTGGAAACTGGATTGACACTACTACTACATGCTAGGTTACCCTTATATTTATGGACTGAAGCATTTCTTACAACAGTATTCTTGATAAATAGATTGCCATCATCTGTGCTTAAAAAGGAAACACCATTTCATAAATTGCATGGTTCACACCCTGATTACAACAGTTTGAAAGTGTTTGGATGCATGTGTTTCCCTTACTTAAAGGGAAAACACAAGTTCTCACCTAAGTCCTATCCATGTGTGTTCATTGGTTACAGCAGTCTGCATAAAGGTTATAGGTACGATCATCCAACCACAAGGAAGGTCTTTGTGTCAAGACATATCGTCTATGATGAACTAACTCTTCCCTATGTGCAGGAAAACAAGATTGACAGTGCACCAAATGACTCTAGTCATATGGCCACCTTCTTTGAATTTTTCTCAGAATCATAGGCTAAGTTTGGTTCATCAAACTCTACTGCTGCAGGGAAAGTATTGAGATCTGATCATGATGATGTTGCAGATAATGTTTCAAATGATCAAAGTGATGTGTTGAGAGCTGATCATGATATTGTAGCCGATGTTTCAAATGATCAGGATGATGGTGCTCAAACAGATGCTCCAACTACTGAACACAGTGATGCTGTTGAGTCTAATCAGGATGAGGTTGTGGAGGTCACAAATAGTGTTGCTGAGCCTTCTGCAGACATGCAAAACTCAGATACTGATGAATTGCACTCAGCGGCCTCTCACTCAGATGCAACACCTATGCAGTTCCAAGAGGATTGCAGCTAGAAGTGGACTTGTCACACTTCTTCAATGACCAGGTTGAAGCACCTCCACCAGAAGCAGAAAACATAGTTCATGCTGAACCTGAGATCACTGATCAAGGCCATAAAATGGTCACCAGATTCAAATCTAAGTCTCTTCCTATAACTCATACCTCACTAGCTGTTGTACAAACAAAATCAGAAGAACCAAAAACTATAAAAGAAGCTCTTAGTTTCCCTTACCAGCTTAAAGATATGTAAAAAAATTAGCAGCTTTACGTCAAAATGAAACTTGGATACTAGTTCCCAGAACTTCAACAATGAATGTAGGATCTAAGTACGTGTTTAAAATAAAAATGAAGCCAGATGGATCAATAGAAAGACACAAAGCAAGGCTAGTTGCTAAAGGGTGCTCACAACTTGAAGGGATTGACTTTGAAGAAACCTTCAGTCCAGTTGTTAAAGCTACAACTATAAGACTTATTCTCTCTGTTGCTGTCACTTTACATTGGCCCATTAGGCAAGTAGATGTTAAGAATGCCTTTCTACATGGCCATCTACAAGAAGAAGTCAATATGACTCAGCCACCAGGCTTCACTGATCCAATGTATCCTTATCATGTCTGTCTCTTGAAAAAGGCACTATATGGTCTCAAACAAGCTCCCAAAGCTTGGTTTGAGAGATTTAGCCTATTCCTGCTTCATCTTGATTTCAAATGTAGTCGAGCTGATTCCTCCCTATGTACCCTCCATGATGCAGAAGGAACAATATTACTTATGTTATATGTAGATCACATAATTATAACAGGAAGCAACTCAAGGCAGATAGGGGAAGTAGTGCAAAAGCTGAGGCATGAATTTGCTGTGAAGGATCTTGGACCCTTGAGTTACTTTTTAGGTATTGAAGTAAGCTATTTTCTTGGAGGAATCCATTTGAACCAAAGAAAATATGCAAATGATCTGCTTAGAAAAGTGGATATGGAAAATGTAAAAACAATGCATACTCCACTAGCTCAGAAGCATGGTCTATGATGTTTTATACTTCAATACCACACAAGAGGGGGGGTGATTTGTGTGATAACCAATTTT